CATGCTAAGGAACATGCAACCCATCGTGTGCTCATTCTCTCTCTCTCTCTCTCTCTCTCTCTCTCTCTCTCTCATAAAAATTGAAAAGGTTAGAAGCCACAGCTTGAGTGGACTGGCCTAGCGTCATGGAGCCCGCCCATCCGCACAGTCTCTGACAACCAACACTCTCCCCTGCAAAGGCAAGCTGTTCCTTTCCCACCTGCGGCTGACCTGTGATGACTGCCAAAGTGACCACAGCACTGAGCGGCCGCCCCTGCAGATGGACGCTACAGGTGTAGGTCCCAGCCTGCTCCAGACTCACAGTCTCAAGTCGAAGGGCAAAACTGCCACTCTTCCCAGTCACCAGGCGCTCAGGGCCTCCCCCAGGAGGAGTCCACTTGGCAGTGAGTGAAGAAGAGGTCCCCATACCCTGGGGCAAGTGACAGGGCAGCTCCACCCGAGAGCCTGCAGCAGCATACACTGTCAGAGGAGCTAGGGGCTCTAGACCTGGAGGGAAAAGAAACGCCAAGGTCAATGCCGGGAACTTCGAGGAAGAAAGGCAGAGGACAATGGAGGTATTTGGGAGTAACACACAAAGAAAGAGAATAAAGCAGACAGGCTAGGGAAGCTGAAAAACCCAGACTGTGCTGAGCCAGCAGGATACCAAAGGCTGTCAGGATATCAGAAGGATGGACAGCCAAGGGACAAACTACGGTAAAGATGGCAGCTAAAAGACTCCCACAGAGGAAGAGGTTTGCACACTGCTATACTGAAATCTGAAGGGACATGGCAGCTGAGAACCTGTTTGGGGGGGCCCATGAGTCAGGAAAGGTGGGGGCAGAAAGGGGTTCGGGTCAAGAGTAAAGACAGCTTGGGAGAGTTACCCAGAACCTCGAGGTTGTGTGTGATGGAGACATTGAAGCCATCTCTGTAGGTGAGGACACAGCCCCAAGTCCCCGAGTCAAGAGGACTGACTTGCGGGAGAAAGAGGAAACTTTCAGCTAAGTGGTGATGGGCGGACTTGTGGACAGGAACTCGGCTCTGACCCTGGAACCAGTGCACGGAGACTGGGCGGTCAGGGCGACTGAAGGAGCAGTTCAAAATGACCCAATCAGACGGCCTGAGGGGTCCTGAGGGACTGGCGATCACTGTGAGAAAGTAAAAAGGACCAATCAGTCGTCTAGATGGAAACACTTTCTCAATGCAGCCAGCTGAAGCAAGCTGAAAACACATGGAAACAGGGACACTGTGTTCAGATTATCTTTACAGCCTCCCATTCCAGCTCAGTACTTGAAACCTGGGGTGTTTAACAAGAGACCCGGGACCCCTCTTCACTGTCTCCTGCCTCCACTTATGTTACTTGGCCTGTTCTTTGGGCAGACATTGCCTGAGGATGAGCTATGGATGTCTTAAATGAGTCACTCTAGACCCCCAAAGAAGAGGCGCCCTCCCTATTCTACCTCCACCAGGGAGGGCACTCCCGCTCTAGGTTGGGGACGGAGGAAGGAGTTGGAGTATGTGATACAGTTTCTCCGTAGCCCCCTCATCCCCGCCTAGAGGCATGCATTTTAGGGGGGCACTTTCCACCCTACTATCAAGCGGCCACCCCTTCCTGAACACTTCTGGAGGCCCTCAGGCGGGGTCTAAAGCACTACCCTTGCCAGGGCTCTTCCTGCCTCGGGGCGACGGGGACCTGCTTTCCAGTCCCTCTCCCTTTGTCCCGCCCCACCTACTCGAGGCCTGGCCGACGCGCAGGCGGAGATGGCAGAAGAGGGTGCGGTCCGAGAAGCGCACCGTGGCGTGGTACTCGCCAGCGTCGGCGCGCCGGGCTGGACGCAGCCACAGCGAGAAGTCCCCGCGCTGGAGGCGGCGCTCGTCCAGCTGCACGCGGGTTTGCAGGGGCAGCCTCCCGCTGCGCAGGCCTCCTGGAGCCACGCTCAGCACCGTGTAACGATGGGGGACCGGCCTCCCAGGCAAGGGCTTCCCCCTGAGACGGTCAAGGGCAGGGGCGGAGTGAGAAATAGGATTGAGGGATTCCTATGCAATTTGAAAAAGCCGTAAAGACTTGCACTCCAAGCACACTCTGAGGATAAAGCAGCCCGCCTAAGAGAGCACTCGACCATTAGCAGCCTCCCCCCTCCCACCCCTAGTCACCCCATCTGCTACTAGAGAGGTGGCAGACTATGGACCGCAGATTGCGGAGTAGTCACTAAAGGGCTGTGTGAAGAGGCCGAGCAACTGACTTCAGAGGGACTCACAGAGGGGACAAAACTGGCTTGGATTTTTTTTTTTTCGAGATAGGGTTTCTCTGTGTAGCTTTTGGCTGACCTGGAACTCACTCTACAGACCAGGCTAGCCTCAAACTCACAGAGATCCACCTGCCTCTGCCTCCTGAGTGCTGGGATTAAAGGCCACTACTGTCTGCCCATTGGACGGGGTTTTATCAGAATGCCATTTAGAACTGGATTTGGAGGTTCTGTCGCCCAACCGTGGGGTGCATACCCATCTGGTTGATGTTGCCAAGTGACCACTCCTCTTCGCAGAAGGTTGGGATTCCGGTGGGGGAGTTGGGGGCTGCAAGGAAGATGGACAGGGGCCCCCTCCTGGGCCCACACCACGGAGTCCTCTCTCCCAGGCTCTGAAACCACGGCTAGTGGAGCAAAAGAGAGGCCAAGTGCTATGAGTCAAGAGATTTGAGAATAGAGAAAGGCCTCGGTGTTCCGAGAGAGAAATATCATTCCTCCCTGTCAAGGGGAGAATGAGGTGGCTTTGGGATTGGAAGGCTTGTCCCCCCCCCAAAAAAAAGGCACAAGAAGACCATCATAGTGCTAAAGAGACAGGTCACAGAGGTCCCTGCTGGCTTCTCCCGAACTCCCCATCTTACCTGGAGCTTCCCACAGCAGTCGCAGAAGCAGATGGCCTAGGAGCAGAGTCTCCCTCATCTCCTCTATGGCCTGGGCCTCCCTAGCCCTCCAAGGGAGGTCAGAAAGGGGTCCTGAGAGGAGAAAAACAGAAGTTCTACAAGGAGGAAGGTGAGACAGGGAGAAAGAACGTAGGGTAAAGACGATCAACAGGAGGAGGTGGGTGGTCTGGGGAGGGAGGAGGACTAATGACCAGACGCTGGAGACCAGAGGAAGTTGGCTAGATGGGGTGGGGGAGAGACACACCCCTGGAACAGGGCAGGGCTGGGGCAGAAAGCAGAGTAGACGCAAGGCCACTACAGTGAGCTGGGATGCTGATCTGCAGCTGAAGTCCTTCGGCTTCCCTTCCACCTTCCCCACTTCCCCTCCCCACTGCCCGCCCCCCACCCCAGGGCTCAGGGTTTCGATTCGCAGTGGAAAGTGTGAGGGGGCTGTTTCCCAGCAGCAGAGCCCTCCGTCTGTTGTGGCACTCCCCTTGTTTACTTCCTCAGACTCGGGTCTCCCCACCGCCCCCTCTTCACCTCTTCCCCCTCTGCCCCCCTCTCCCGGGTTCTCGGGTTCTCTGCCAAGCCTGTCTGCCTAGAAGACGACAGCTGTATCTCTAAGCTGCCTCTTATGTCCCCGCAGTCACATTTTCTTCTTCACAGGCTCTTTCCCATAAACTTTCCAAGAACTTGGTCCAGGAGAACTCCGCATCTCCTGGACAGGTACACAGGAAGTACCACCGAACCACAAATTAGCAGGTCTGAGGAAGGGCTTGGTGGCACAGTGTAGTAGCTACATGGTGTCAATCTTCAGTCTATGCTACTTATAGTATTATACATTTTCCATAAAGCAACTTGTGAAAATACAGAGGAAATTGAGGCTCACAGACTTTCAATAACTTGCCAGGATTAGGGGGCATGAAGGCATGCCCTCGTCTTAGTGACTTTTCATCTTCTAGGAAGAGAATGACAGTGGATACTCGTTTTGAGGATTTATTTCCATTTCTGTGTCTGTGATCATGAATGCTGCCTAGGTATGAATGCCCAGAGGTCTGAAGAGGGTGTCAAATTCCTTGCAAGTACAGTTACAGGTGGCTTGTGAGCTGCCCAACCTGGGTGCTGGAAACCAAACTCGGGTCTTCGGGAAGGGCAGCAGGTACTCATAACTGATGAGTTCATCAGATAGTTCTCTCCTGACCATACGATAGTTTGCCATCTTCAAAGTTGCCCCCACCTAATGATTCTGTACTAAAAAATGAAGGCAAGGGTTTATGGAGATGGAATAATGCCGAAATCTTGTAGCACAGCAAACTCAAGGAAAAACTGAGGAGTCAGAAATGGAGGTACTGATCTGTGACCCGACATTTTGGAAAGTGGGGGCAAGAACTGGTTCTGGGCTTGCTTGGGCTACCTAGTGAATTCAGGGACATCATGGGCCACAAGGTATCCCCAGTGTCAATGACAACACCACTAACAATAGACCTCTATCCCACTTGAAAGGCAGAGGCAAGCAGTTCTCTGTGAATTTGGAGCCAGCCAGGGCTACATAGCCAGACTGCCTCAAAACAATGGGGACGGAGGCAGGACTAGAGGAATCTGCCAACTCTTACTCCCCAGATCAGTCCAGCTGAGAAAATCAGAGGAGACAGACCTGAGAAGTAAATGTGGAGCCATCCTTGCCTTTCCCCCTTGCCCCACCCCCGCGGCTTGATTTAAGAGGACCCTGCTTCCCACGTGTCAAAACGTGTCCCTGCTTGGTAGTTCTTTTCAAATCCTAGGTTGAGACCCAAGCCTACCAGCCTTTTCCGCTTCGGGGCGGGACTTCCTGTTTCTAGAGCTGATTCTATCTGCCTGGTTCAGCACAACCAAGCCAGTAGGTTTCCACTGGGCTCAGCACTGTCTAGATCTTGTGTGGGTTAACGTGATAGTGTGTATTGCTGAGGAGAAACATCCTCAGGAACCCAAACAGACCACAGGTCAGCCCCTAGAATATGACCTTGGGCTCCTAGTCCACACCGGAGGGCTGGTTGTATTTTCTACCATCTGGATATGGGGTCAGCCACCCCTTCTCTACCCTTTCAGGCCCTGAGTGGACTATGGGAAATCAGGAGACAGGTTAAAAACAGAAGCGCGACCGTTTCTTTATTAAATTATACAAAAAGGGGAGGGGGGCAGCTTCGGGGCTTGGCCCCAACCCCGGCCCCACCCCGGCCTGGCGCTGTCTGAGAGGAGGGAATCTGAGGGAGACCCAGGGATCAGGCAGGAGAGAAGGGTAGGTTGAGAGGCTGCGGGTGCAGAGGGTAAGGACAGGCTTTGCAAGGGGCTGGGACAGACGGGCTGGTGATGGAGGCAGGGAAGAGCCAGGAATGCAAGGGGACAAGTGAGGGCCGGCTGGGGAGCTCAGGTGAGGCGGATCAGGAGCTGGACCGACGGCAGTGAGGGTGGAGGAGCAGTGTCTGGAGAGATGGAAATGGGGCTGGGTGGAAGGACGAGGGTCACAGCTCTGGGGCAGGGCCAGAGCGGGGAGCCAGGAGAAGGGGGGCTGGACTTGTGTGTTCCTGCCCCACCTCCAGGACCTGAGGGGCCTCCCATCCCCAAGCCCACTGGCAGGGGCTCATGCCGACGCCCCATTTTCTGTCTTCTGCCTCTTGGGATCTGCTTCATCCTGTGGAAAGGATAAGAGTTGAGGTTGCTGTACAAAGGGGACCTCCCCCTCTTCCTGCTGGCCCTGCTCCAGCCCCTGCCTGTGCCACAAGGACCTGGGTCCAACTCCAGAGGGCCCCTGCTATATTCTTGACAGTCCCTCGGGTCCCAACCCAGTCAAACCTCCTCTTCAGCAGTTCTCTTTCGCACTGGGCCTTCATCCTCCTCCTCTTCTTCTTCCTCATCTGAAGAGCCAGAAACAAGTCAATGGGGAAGATGGGCGGCTCCGGGCACAGACCCATAACCAATCCATAGTTCCCCTCAGCCTGACTTCTGGTCTTCAACTGCTCCCTGTCTCTGGTCCTATGAGCCTTAACTTTTCCAGCCCAGTCTCCTCTACCCATCCCTACCTTCTTCATCCCCTTCATCATCATCTTCTCCATCCTCAGCAGTTTCTTCTTCTTCCTCTTCAGCTCCATTCTCCTCCTCCTGTGGGTACCAAGACAAGGAGAGTGGTCAGGCTGGCAGTGTGGCCACCCACTGGGTGAGAAAAAATGAGGAGGGATCAAGAGCAAGGCAGGACCCCAACACCCCCAGGAAGGCAAGAGGAGGTAGGAAGGACGTTGGGACAAAGTGGGACCACGGCCTCCACACCTCCACTACTTCTTTCTTCCGTTCTTTCCGGCCAGCCTTCTCCTCCACTTTCTCCTTCTTTTCCTTCAGGTCCTGCAAGGCAGAAGGTCACCTTTCAGCACTAATGGTGCACAGCCTCGAGTCCCCCAGTCTATTGCTCCAACTCTGCAGCTAGGTCAAAGGTGCTGAGTGAAAAGTGGTCACAGTTTAAGGTACAACACAAGCCCTCGCGTCCTGAGATTTGGGCCATAATTGGCTGGTACCAGACTTTCTTCCCCAAGACCCAAGGGGAGTGGGAAAATGGGGAAGGGGAGCAAGCAGCCAAGAGTAACTGAAGCTCCCACCCTGTCCAGTTCTTCCAGATCTCTCCTGGCTTAAGAGTTGAGCTCCACAAAGCAAATCCCCATCTGCTGGCAGCCTCGACGCTCCACCCCCTTCACCCTCTCTGCCTGCCCTGCTCTGCCTTTTGTCTTCCTCAGGGGCCTTTGCCTAAGTACTCTCTCCCCTGGGCATCCTCCCAGCGTCCCCTTCAGCTTCTGAAGCCTTTGTTTCCCTGTCTGTGTCTCCCTAATCCTTCCGTTCCTACTTGGCCAAACAGCACAGAGGTGTGAAGACCACCCTAGCACGTTCCTATCCCCAACTGGACAGTTTCAGTGTCCCCTCCTCTCCACCTTCATGGGCTATGCACTGGGATGGATGAGTAGAAGGGGCCATTTTCAGTGGACATAAGGGGAAAGTCTGGTAAAAGGAAGACACAGAGGAAGGAGCCAGCACAGCAAAGTCTGGGCCTAAATGGGAAGGTGGGTGTCACCTATCCAGAGCGCCCCCCCCGCGCCCCGCCCCAACTGTCCTCCCCTTCATCCTGAGATCCCAGCAGGTACCCCGACAGAGGGAACTGCTCCAGTGGGTAAGACCCTCTGGACAGAGGAGCCTTCCTATCCCATGCAGACTCTGCTTTCCCCCACCACACTCCTTGGCAGGTGCACGTTCTCCTGTGATCTTATCTCATGTTAGTATGCAACTCTAGGGTGCACGATCCCAAGTGGGTAGGAGTTTTCATAAGCAGATCGTCCCAGAAGGATGTGTCCTTTCTTGAACAAGACTGGGGTAGAAGAGGGACTTGGTGCCAAATGACCAGCCCGGGGTCACTCGGCTCTCGAGAATTCTCCCTTTAGGAGAGTAGAGCACAAGAACGCTTGGCCCTCTCGCTCCAGGCAGGTTCCTTCTTCATTCTGCTTTGCTGTCATTTCTGTCACATGGTGGATCTGGCACTTGTTCTACCAGGTGAGCTTTCCCTTACATCCTGGGCCAGGCAGGGACTAAGTCAGCATAGTTTGTGTCAGGCCCTGGCCTGAGTTTCCTATCGGGGTTGACGGAGGGGTGAGGGGAAGGGAGACTTCCAGAGACCAAAGTCCACAGGACTGGCCCCTCTGCTCCCGGGTCCTGTCCTTCTGGTCACTGTCCTCCCATGATCTCTTTTCCAGGAGGGTATGTGACCTGCCGCCAGTGTTGAGCAGCTCTCTGACCTCTACACGGGTACGCAAGCTCAGACAGGCTAACACCAACTCTACAGGGGAGCGCCCACGCGCTCCGGAGACACATGGCCCAATGTTTGGGCATTCTGGCACACTCTCACAGGACCACAGTGTAGCCAGCCACTCGGCACTCACAAAGCGGCATCATGCCTCCGGAACATCTCAGTCTCCACATGCACACATGTAACTGACACGGGGAGTCCCACACACTCGCTGGATCTCAGACATACAAAGACGCCTACTCAGTGAAGTCACATGCCACCGCACATCCCACCGAAGGGCTACACAGGCACACCTTGTCAAATCTCACATGTCCCCTCTCCCACTGCCTTTCATGCTATCAGATTCCCCCCCATTCCACTTGAGCCTCCAGAACTATGCTGCCCCCCCCCAAAAAAAGAGACAAGGCTCCCAGCCCCCAAATCTGGCCGCATTAATTTCCCTAAGCGACACTCCGCAGTTTCCCTGGGGAAATTAGAGGAGGGCTGGAAGAGAGACAAGGGCAAAGGGATGAGGCTGGGAAAGGCAGCTGCTGAGAGCAAAGACAGCTTGACGTATGGTCAGGCTATGCTGAGCTTCGGCTTTTTCGAAGATTATTCTCTCCACCTTTCTGATTTTTAGGAATTCGACATGAGGGGAGGCAATAAAGAAAAAAACTGAAAGTCGGTTGTGGAAGGAGAACGAATGAGCATGGGCAGAAAAGAGGGTGCAGGAGAGGCGCAGCCCTCCGGGGACGAGCACAGACGGTCGGGCCGCGAGGGGAGGGGCCGAGGAGTAGCCTCCCCAGAGAGTCCTGTTTACACTTGAGGATCCCAAACCGCTTAGCGGAGGAAAGGTGAGGTCATAGTGGAAAGAGACCTGGAGCTGCGGCACGGACACCGGGCCCG